AAAAAAAAAAAAAAAAAAAAAAAAAAGTATGATTTCAGATCTGAGAAAAATTCCTAAGGAGATTTTTTTTTCACTACTTCATGATTGAACTGTATGGTAAGATCAAGTGACTTAGATTTCTCTTTTCTGTGTTTTGGTTATGGACTGAATATGTCCCTTGGTTCTGTGTGGCCCTATCAGAAGGTGGCAGAGTCTTTGAGGTGGAGGTGACTGGGAAGCAAATAGACCACAGGAACAGTGCTCGCAGAAGGAATTGATATCATTCCCACACAACCCTCATGAGGGAGAGAGAGAGGGAGAGGGTGAGGGAGCTGTTCTAAAAGAGCGAGCCTGACCCTGAGTCTCGTGGGCTTCCTGTCTGCTTTGTGCCTCCCCTGCCCAGGTGGTAACGTCAGCCACCATGATGTGATGTGCCCAGGGGACTCACCAGTCTGAATTGATAGGGCTGCCTGATCTTGGATTTGTAGCCTCCAAAGGTATGTGCTAAGTAAACCTCTTCTCTGTAAAATATCCAGGTTCCGCAATGCAGTTATAGTAATGGAAAGTGGCCTAATACACTCCTACTTGGGGATAATGTGTTAATGTCGTTAAACACCTCTTATAGTTGATCTCCACTGTTCTCCTGTGTGTTTCCAAATGGAAAAAGAACCTCATGTAATATTGTGTGTGAAGAAATTGCATTTTATATTGCAGAAGGATTCAATGAATGCTGCAAAATTAGATGCTCAATAAAGAAGTTACCTGCTTGTAAATGTGGGGCACCAAGTCAGAAAAGTTGGAGGAGAGTTTGACATCCACTAATCACTATCAACTGTCTTGCCCCATTCGTTAATGGGGACAGTTAACGTTTTAATCAAAATTTTAAATAAAGTCATTTAAATCCCCTTCAAGCCTGACTCTTCAATCCAGCTAGGCTCCTATTCTCTTCAAATACACAAATTATGATACTTCCAATGACTCACTCACTGGTGTGTGTTGTCTTCGATATAATCTTGCTTTCTTTCCATTATTAATTTGTGGTTTTCCACAATTAATTTCTCCTGCTTAGTAGCAAGATCAGGTAGGCAGACAGACAAGGTCATTTTTAATCTCCATTCCTCACATTTCTTCTTCTGATTTATGTCTGAGATGCCACCATTAAAGATTCATTCCTTCGTGTTAAAATGTAGCAGCCTTCTATCCTAGGACTAAGCTACTTTCCCCAAGCAAGGAAGGTAAATTTCAACACAAGATAAAATTCAACACAAGGTTGGTAAATTTCTACAGGGTTTGGGAAGTGACACTCTGTGTGTGGGAGCCGGTTCTCTCAGGAAGGTGCTGTAGTCTGGAGGTGTTGCCCAGAGGTTCATGAGATCTACCCTTGCTTCCTCCGAGCAGCAGTGTTGGGAGATGGCGTTAGGTAGAGAGGCCTGGGTCATGGGCGTGGCACCCCACAGGAATTGACTAATGCTTTTCTCAAGGGAATAAATTCTTGTTCACTCCTGACTGGATTGGTTACCAAGAGAGTAAGTTGTCACAAAGCAAGTCTGCCCCTCTGTGCTTTCTGCTGTGAGTGGAATAGCAGGAAGCCCTCACTAGAAGCAGAACAGATTCTGGGACCATGCTTTTGGCATCCAGATATGTGAGTCAAAATAAATGTCATTTCTTTATCAACCACTCAGGCTCAGGTATTCTATTATAGGAACAAAAAAGAGACTAAGACAGGAGGCAGAGAAAAGACATCACAGAGGGGTAGGAAAGTGCCGAATTCTCCTCATCATGAGAGAACACAGGGCCAAAGGAGAAAGGACCTGTGCCCCCTCTTTGTGACTTGGGTGTCGGGGCCCAGTCATGGCCCACTGGAGTTTGACATTTGGAAAATAACTTCTTCCTGTATAATTAAGGCATCAACATTTGCTACTCTTCAAGGAAACTGTCTGTTAAGCTGGTTTTGACTCTTTCACCCTGATATAACAGGAAGCTCGTTAGTCGAAGATCTGATGTTATCTGTAAGAGTCAGGAACTCACCCTGACATAACAGGAAGCTCGTTAGCTGAAGATCTGATTTTATCAGTAAGAGTCAGGAAATCCAGTCTTTGAAAAACAATGACTTGGTGTTTTTGGTTGTTGTGTGCCCTTAAAAGCTTCCTGCTGCTGTGAACCTATAAAAGGAGCTCTTTCTGTGAAATAAATCAGACTTCTCTTCGTCTCCGCTCAGGTTTGAGTGTTCTTTCCTTTCTCAATCCTCACTCCCCGACTCGGGCATGTTCGTGTTGTGATGGCTGGACCGCCACACTTGGGTCAAACTCCACAAGGTCTTCGTAGATGCCTTAACTGTGACCATCCTCTGATCTGAAAAAAATCACACTCTTGAGCTAGGAGACCAAGGCCAGTGCTCTCCAAGAGGAACTTCTATTCATTTTTCTTTTTTCTTCCATAGCTTCCCCAAATGCCTTGCAACTGGCCACAACTACATCAGACACCTCAAAGAAACTCCAGAAGATAATTTGTTTTGGCTGTGCCAGGTAACTCCGAGCCCCTGCAGCCATCCTCAACCAAATAACATAAGGAGTCCCTCCTCTACTCAAAGGCTGACATCGTGTTTGTGCCGGGCTGCCTTTTTATTTCTCATAAACAACTTCCCCGTGCCCTTAATGGATCAGCCTAGTTACTCTTCCCTCTTGAACTACTCCATAAGTCTTAATAAAGCTTCTTTCAGGTGGTGTATTTCTGTCTCTGATTTCTAACCTGAGTAGAGCAGGCTGAGCTTTGCACTAAGAGCAGCCACTGGCATTGAAGTGATAACACCTGGGGCTGGTGACCCTGAGGGCAACTAGCATCCAGAGAGCACAGAGAGCAGTGGAGAGCTGCTGGGAGCCACCTGCTCTGGTCACTGGAAGAGTCACTAGCAGCTACTGGTTCCAGCTGCCAGGAGAGTGCTGAGGTCCTCTAACACCAAGAGCTAATAGTCACTGACAACAAAGCTCAGGGCCATTAACACAATAGAGCTACACTCTGCCTAATCATGATTTCTATTTGAATTGAGCCAAAGAACCCTCAGGTGATTAGTGATACTAACTTTGCTCATAATAACTATGTTTAAGACCGGGGATTTAGCTCAGTGGTGCCACCACCTGCTTTGCAAGCGTCAAGGTCCAGAATTTGATCCCCAGTACAAGAAAAAATATATATATATTCTGTACACAATTATTTTGGACATATTTTCTCTGCTATGGATAGAATACCCCCCAATACAATAAATGAATTTTACTCCATTTTAAAATAAAATTGAGACTATTTTATTATAGGCTTAAATATTACATGTTCTGAAACTGTTTTCATTCTTTAGCAATCATTGATTAAAATAATTTTCTAAGATTCATCAATTCTCTATGAATTCTATCAGAAATACATTCTTTCAGGAAATGTTTTATAATTTGATCATTATTAGTTTAACAGTATGTCTCAGATTGTTTACATTGCCATATATTTGTTAACATTTTAGCCATTGTGACTCTATTTTTGAGAAAAGGTTAGAACTAAGTTGCTGAGTAAGCAGAGAAAATATATAGTATAATTTGAGCTGTAATAAAATATCTCTTTTCCTAGAACTTTTATTCGCCAACACAAATGCTTAAAATTTCCATTATTGAAATAATTCTTTTGGATTAAAGTATTCACACCTGCCATTTCCTAGGAGGGGTGATTTGGCAGGGGGCTACCAGTGACACTTGTGGAACAAAAGAACAATGAGTAACTCTAGGATATATCATTCCATTCCACTCATGGCAACCTGCCTTCCTCAGACAAACGCCATCTGTCACCACCATGCCTCTTTCAGTCCTTGGTAGCTTGTGTCCTAGATCCCAGCCCTCATTGCTCCTCTGGAGCCACACTTCATCAATCGGCCCTTTTGTTTCCTGTAACTTCTGTGTGTCTCCCTCTTTCTCTTGTTGCCCTTTCCTCTCTGAATGTGAGTATATGCCATCTCTAGATAGTAGGGAACAGGGAAATGGATCTTGCAAATGGAAAGGGGGCCAAGAGATGGAGGGAGGAAGGAAAGAAGGAAGGAGAAAGGGATGGAGAAGTAAAAAGATTTGAGATATGTTTTTGTGAATGTACCAATGCCACAAATGAGTGTAATCGTGTGCTACAATATGTACAGAAAGATTGGCAAGTGCCCTATTAAAAAATACTATATCTCAGTGGATATGCATATATGCATGAGCTCACATGCACATGTGTGTGCATACACACACACATACACATACAAACTTTTTCTATCCAGCCAGGTGTGGCAGCACATACCTACAATCCCAGCAGTCAGAAGCCCGAGGCAAGAGGATTACAATTTCAAGGAAATCTAGGCTACCTAATGAATTGACGACCAGCCCAGAGTACAGTGTCAGAAACTTTTCCCATCTGTATCCACCTTTGGTTCTCACTTCTTGCCCTTCTTTTCACAGCCAAAAGTTTTCCAAATGCCTGAAATCAGACACTCTATCCTTGTCTCTCTCAGGGATAACTTGCTTGTGAACATCACCAGGGATGTCCTAAATGCAAGACCCAGAGCAGAACATCTCAGTCCTATCTACCCCTGAAGCTGTTGGTGTCTTCCACAGTCCTCCCTCAGTGCTCTCTCTGTCTTACACTGTTGTTCTGTTTGGGGCTCACCAAAGGCAAATTCTGGGTGAAATGAGGTGGAAAAGTCTGGACATGCTGAGCTGAAAGCATAGGAAGCAACAAAACAGTTGAATGGGGCTCTAGAAAAATTCAAAACAGAAATAATTTCCTAGATAATTACAGAGATGGTGAGAAGAACGAAAGACATGATTAGACTCTAGAACAGAAACAGATTTTTTAAAAAGTAGATGAGTTCAGGACCATGATAGAAGCCATGAATGCCCAGCATAGGAAAGAAAGGGAAACCATGAATGCCCAACATAGGAAAGAAATGGAATCCACAAAACAGATTCAAACAGATAGCCAGGAGATAAAAAAAAAAAAAAAACTCTATTGAAAGTATGTACAACAGACTGAGCCAATGTGAAGACAGAATATCAGATATAGAAAACAGAATAGCAATCAGTGACTATGAAAAGAGAGATCTCTTAAAAATAGTAGGGACTATGGGAAATCAATCCAACAACCCCTGGATGACACAAAGAAGAATAATATAAGACTGATAGGAGCCCAAGAAAAAGCAGAAGAAAGTACAAATGGCATAAAATAAACCTGTTCATAGAATTAATGACAGAAACCTTGCCCAACAGAGCAAAAGAATTTGACATACAGGTAAGTGAGGTATATAGGACTCCAACTAATCATGATAAAAAAAAAGTGTACACCTAGACATACAATAATCAAGATCCTGGAAACCCCACAGAAGAATGAAATACTATAAACAGTTAGAGAAAAGAAACAAATCACATGCAAAGGAAAGCCCATTAGGATTACAGCAGACTTTTCAAAACAAACCCCCAAGTCAGGGAAAGCTTGGTGTGAGGTATTTCAAGCCCTAAAGAAAACAACCTCCAACCTAGACTGATGTATCCTGCAAAACTATCTTTCAAAATTGATGGGGGAAAAAGATACTTCCATCATAGAGAACACCTGAGAAACTTTATGAATACCAAACCAGCATTCCAAACAATTCTAAACAATAGCCTAGAAAAAGACAATGAAGGTCTCAACTCCATGAGGCCCAACAGAACAAATCCATTAGGCAAGGCAAGAAATTAAAGGGAGAGGAGGGAAAAATGTAAAAGAGCCAATAACATGACAATGATAAGTCAATATGCATCAGCTATAACCATCAATGTTAATGGCTTCAATTCACCAATCAAAAGAAATAGGCTGGCAGAATGGATTAA